TGAGATTTGACATGTCATTTTGATTCAGGCTTTATGCTTAAAGCAAGTAGCGCGGCTTACCTTCGCTCTCTCCCTTTTGGCGAATGCATTTCGCCGTCTCTTTAGTGGAGGACTCTGCATCGGGGGACGTGTAGGAATCGGCGTGGTGGCTTGTGCTGGCATTTGGGGTCTTGGCAGTATTGTTGGAACAGCATCTTTGTTCAGTTTGAAATTCTTTTTTAATCCAATTTCCTTAGCGAGCATTGTGGACTGGTCAAAACACGATCTTTCAAAGTGCTGCCCACAAATTGTAGGTTTCATCGACCCCGGGTTACCTGGACCAGCAAAGTCCGCCCTCGTACGACGCACTTGTTTGGTCCATATACGCGACATTTGATAATTTTTTGGCCACAAAAACATCCCATAGCCAGATTTGGAGACGGCCCCACATCCCCATACCACGCAGCGCTTGCCGATTATTCTTCGCGTTTTGTTGTTGTTCATCCTTTGTTTTAATATTTGCCGCTTCAAGGCATTTAAACAATGGTGACTCAGCTGTGTTCTGCTCAGCTGTGTTCTACTCATGACGTCACCGCCGGAAATGACCGAAGTTTTGTTTCCAGAGCTACGAACGATCGTTACTAACTGACAACATTTGTATGCTGTTATAATCGTGATTTATTAAAAAATACATCAATAATAAAAAATACAAATGCAGCCTCTATCATATACTAAGCCCACTAACAGGTGCTAAAAGCATTTCGTAAGCTCTTTAAGTGTTCTTTAAAATATTTCTATAACTCCTTCTGTGGAAGCTACTTGTTTATTAAAAGATGTTTGTTGAATTATAACTAAAGCAAGTGTGGTTTTTGTATTTGTGTGTAGGGTGGGGGGGTTGGTGTTTTCAATGTATACTATAGGAAAGTAAACCAAAAATATAGTTTAAAAACTGGAGAGATAAAAATATGAATACATAAATGAATGTTAACTAGGTCAAATAAGATATGAATGAACAACAAAAATAAAATAAGTTACATTTATTGGCTATGGTAGGTTATTGGTTATGTTCACATACTCATTTGATTATTAAAATGTTAACTGATATTTTTCATATGGGTGTTTTAGAGTTGTACCCCCTAGATCTAGTAGTAATTGTGTGCTCAAAGTGCACCAGATTGAAGCATTTTACTTTAAAATGTCCAAACATTTCTTCCCGGGGGTGCCCCCGGACCCCCCTAGAGGATCTGACGTCCATCCCCCAATTCAAACATGTTCATACAATACTGAATACATTTGAAGCCTTTTTGCCTATGTCAATAAATTTCTGTTTTTGTAGTGTATTCGTCTTTTGTAGAGATTTTTTATTTATTCTTTATATATTCTATGGGGGGGGGGGGCGCCAGCTAAAATCTCGCCTAGGGCTGCAAATTGTCTACAGCCGGTACATGCAACAGCTGATTTATGAGCTGCGTTTATCTCCATACTTAAACACAATCACAAAACGTCATTCTGTTTGAGGTCTGTGAAGACTAACTCTGGCTGGGAAACCTTTCTGAACAAATCAAAGAAACGTCATAACAAATGCACCAGTAGTTTCCTCGGGTCAGTACCATTGTGTTTTATGTTGGAACAGGTGGGAGATGAAAACTATGAACAAACAGCAACATTGGTGAAATGCAGAAATAGTATTATCAATAACTTACAACACAGGCACCAAATAAATACTCATATCATTAGTAAAAATATACAAAGTACATCTCTCCTTTTACAGACAGTAGACTATCACATTGTTACAAAAAATACAGCAGACTGAGTTTACTCCGCTTCTTAATGTGAATCTGATCAAAAGTGCTTTGCTGATTAAAGTCCTCTCTTAAATATCCGTCATATCTGTTAGCACTTCAAATGAGCAAAATATTGTTTTATATACCGTGTTTGTCATCACAGCTTTTGACAAATGAAAAGCTATAAGTCACTGTACATGCATAGTGCATACTGTATTTACAATAGAACCCCTTCTATAAGGATTTCTCTCCGTGTGATGGTGTAATAAAATTATTTTACATAAACACGTGTTTACAGGCTGACAGTAGCGCTGTCAGGGAACAGGAGATTATACCGCTGTGTGAGACACAGGCTCCTGGAAGTGGAAGATTTGATATATGTGCAGTGAAAAAACGAATTCATTAAATGTATAATGTCAACAAATGTCCCATTATTGCATTAGATTAGATGAAAGCATTAATAGTAAGTTTAAATAAAAAACATTAGGTTCAACTTAACATAATACTTTCAACTAACCTAATTCGGTTATGTGTATTCTGTTGACATGATTTAATTAAAGTCACGGTTTCAGTTTTTTCAGTGTGTGCCCCAACACTATCTATCCTTCTTCTCTTATTTCATTGTCTCTGTGCATCAACAGATCTTTTAATCCAGGCAGGATCCCAACGCGTCCCCTCCTCTGCGAAAGTCTGTGCTCATCAGGGTCCATGTTGCTGAGTCAGCCCTTCTGAGGGCCCCTCAGTCCCCTGGCCCTCGGCCCCGGCCCTTCCTGGCCCGGTGTCTGCGTCTCCGGCGTTCCCCTCGGCGCCCATTGTGATGCGTGTGATGCTGTGCGCTCTGACTTTCCCTCAAACGCCTCACCATCTCATGGTCCTTGTTGCCTAGCACCCGAGGCAGGAAGAGCGAGGCCTTGTCCGTGCTCCGGGTCTTGAAGCCTCTCCGGGGCCGGCCCTTGCCGTTGATGGAGACATACCACTGCCGCTTGGCGCTGGCCCGCCGCCGACTGCCCCCCCCTGGGGCCAGAGGCTGCTCCGTGGAGTGGTGGCGGGAGGCGTAGGTGTTGTACCCCAACTCATGGATCCGCTCCACAAACTCACACTCTTGGTTGAACACTTCCTGGGTAGAGGAGAAAGAAGGAAGCAGTGAGCAACATGCGTCATGTGACCTGCTGTGTGTTTCAGGTCGACCTCTCCAACAAACTGAAAACACTTAAACCTTGACTTTATTACAAATATGATGTCAACAGATCTCACATAACTTATTAGGTTGGTTGAAAGCAATTATATTAAGTCAACCTAATATTTTTTAATTAAACGTCATATTATTGCTTTCAACTATATAACCTACAGTTATGTGAAATCTGAAACATTTCATTAAACACAACATTTCAGTTTTTATAGTTCACACAGCGAGTGTTTCAGCTCAACGTGTCACCCTCACAATGATCTGCAGCTACTATCGGACACAAATAATAATAATAATCATTGCAATTATCACTTTTATGTGAAAAACATACATTCTTTCTAAATGTCCAAACATTTGTATAATTTGTTTTATAATGTCTCTTTTTTGTTTGACTTATATGTGCTTTTCTTCCCCATATTTCATAAGTTTGCTTATTCTTTATCCTTGCTTGCCTTTTTCGACCTTCCATGCCAGTTTTGCTGTAACAATGTGAAGTTGTTAGGTTGAAGGACTTCTGCTGGTTCTGAAAGCAGCAGTATGATATCATCCTAAGCCAGATGAAGATGCAGCGCTGCAGCCGGTCCAAATCACACTTAAAAAACCTGACAGTTGACTTTAATAACTGTTTTAGTTGAAAGCAATACTGTTGCGTTATAATACAAATATTAGGTTCAACTTAATATTATTGCTTCCAACTAACCTAATACAGTTATGTGAAATCGGTTGAAGTGATACTTGTAATGAAAGTCAATGGTACTGTTCTTCAGTGCAGCAGGTAACCAACTCTCTCTTTCATATCTGAGACCCTAACCTGGGTTGCTGTTTGAACAGAAGGTGACCGGCTAGATGATGGGATGACTTCTATACTCACCGAGGCATACAGCCGCCCTTTATCATTCATGGCCAGATATCTGCCAGAGAAAAGGCCCTTTATGGCCACGACTCCCACATCCACTGCTGTGATTTCCATGATGCCTGCAACACACAGAAAACAGTCAGGATGCTGTATGTAAATTCATCATGATTTAAAAGATCATTGTTTTTGTTCTCTGTAGCTTTAATGATTACCCACTGATAAGTCTTGAAAGGTGGAAATCAATTATAAAGAGCAAATGAAGCCAAAACAAACCAACACAAAACTGTTGTCATTTCCAATAAAGGAATTAATTTCCGTTGTGTTTGCCACCTTGTGCCGACCCATTCAGTTTGTTTATTGTCTTTTTTAATCAGTGCTTGATTAGTCAATGACCTATTCAGCCTGTGGAAAGCTCTAATGGGCGCTGATGAGATAAATACATCCGTTAGGACAGCGCCTTTGTCCCGCCGGGATGTTAATACTTTGCCTGATACTTGTAATTAACCTTCATGTCGGCAGCTTTACAATAACATTTCTCACACACTCACACACACACACACACACACACACACACACACACACACACACACACACACGGAAACACACACACACACACACACACACACAAAAACTGAGGCGCTACACTGAGGACTGATATATCCTAGATAAATCAATCATTTAATAAACTACGAAAAAAAGACTGACAAACAAATGTATAGAAATCAAATGAATAATAGGCTTTTTGCGCAAATATTTATTGTAGCCATACCTTAATAATAAAGGCTAAGTGTCATTTCACAAGTGTTACATTTAAAAAACAACTCTCATTTAACAACTTGACCTCACATTTGTAAGAATAATGTTCATTAAAGCACTGATACAATATATTTCTTATAAGTGTATATTAAGTGTGGTAGTGCAGATCCCTGTGCGTAAAGCAGAGCATACTCACTCAACGGGTTGTTTTCCTCCAGTGACCCGTCTATCTTCCCGTTGGAATTGATCTGTAAATGATATTTGGTCGCGCAGTAGAGCTTTCTGCGCCTCGGGGCTCCTCCGAGGTGTTCGTACACTCCTCCGCGGCCCCCGGCGTCCCTCCGCGGCCGGGGGTCGCACGCCTGGCCCGGGGCGCAGCGGGCCCGGGGAGTAACGGGATCCAACAGGCTCAGCAACACCAGCAGATAAATCATCAGCATTGTGGCATGGCCGGGGAGCGACGATTGTGGGGGGAAAATGTAGAACTCCAATCCGGCTCTCGGGGTCCCATTAAAGTGTCGAGGCCCCAACGCTTCAGAGCTCCAGCCTTGCGCACATCCAAGCCCGAGACACACCGTTGACAGCACCGCCCTCCTCTGCTGCTGGAACCTCCTGCGGGTCTGACTGAGAGCCGGAGCGCAGACTGAGCGCAGATATAAAAGAAGCTTGTGGCGACAATAGGCTGAACTCCGACCAATTGATACAAAGGAAAGGGGGAGGCAAAAGGTATCAGCCCTGTGTGAAGTGAGAGACTGCGGCGTGGATAAAATTACACAGTGACTGAGTGCGGAACAGCTCTCTCTGAACTCCTCTTCTGAAATCTCCTGAAAGAGCACTTACACGAGCTGCAGGCCCTGCGACAGGTGAGCAATGCGTGTTCCTGGGTGTCCTGATCAGTTATTAATCAACTCAAACATTTAAAATAACTCTACACATTACAACTTTTTCAACTGAACTGTTTCTTTTTTAATTCTGAGGCCTCTCCTGACACACATTCATCTGTCCACTTTCTAACTAGTACACAGCTATCACAAAGGGCTTGTCTTATAGCAGCAAGCCCTTCAGGAAAAGCCAATGTCTATAATATTTCTGCCTTGAATAAGAGCTCCCTGGTTCAGAATGTTCTTCAGAGGTGAGACAGACTTCCAATGCTGGTTGACTTAAGAATCGAACCCAAGCTCTTCTCTCAGCAGTTAACAGTTCACAGCCTTCTTTGTCCTAAGTGTTACGGTGCTCCTTCCTCCTCCTGACCTGTAAGCATTTCCCTCTAATGCTTAGAGTCATTTCTGTTGAAGTTCGATTAAGAAGGAAAGACAAATGAATGGCCTGTCACAGAGTTCCTCCTAGCTCCACAGAGCGCCTCTCTGTGAGTTCATTGGTTACCCTCCAGCCGAGCAATAGCTTGTCCCAGACTCTTCCCATCCTAATGCCCCGGCTCTGGCTAGGCAGCAGCCGGTGGGCGGAAGAGCAGCAGGCTAAATGACTACTGCCTAAATTGCTTCCATCTTGGTCACATTATGGTTTGCATTCTGGTAATTAGCACCATCATCTACAAATCTCTCTGCCCTTTGGCGCTGCTCCACTGCTGCTGTGAAGGCAAGGCTGAGAATCCCCCAGAGAGTCCACTGTTCATTTGTCTTCCCCTCCCATACATCACCCAGCGAGCTGCCTCTGTCACTTTATTTACCCCGATGATCAGAAAAAGCAGCTCTCTTTTAATTACAAATGTGTGCACATTATGCACGCAAGACCCTCGTCAGACGACACACCAGAACATGAGTCCAGGCCGTGTGTATCAGCGGTTCTTCTGGTGGCCGTTTCTAAGTGAGACGCTCTTGATGTGGTTAAAGGCTGGAAGAGGGAGGAACCTCAGATGTGGCTTGCTGTTTCTCTCAGAAACTATTTTAATTACGCTCCCTCCACGCCGCCCACAAAGCATCCCAGCAATAAGCAGGGCCAACGCTCTCAATGTGTGATACACATGCACACACACACAAACACGCACGCACGCACGCACGCACACGCACACACACACACACACACACACACACACACACACACACACACACACACACACACACACACACACACACACACACACACACACATACTAGGATAAGATAGTTGTTTATTGTAATTTTCAAGGTTAAGATGTCAGTTATGAGACAGAGATACATCTGAGATTTACGCCTCTGCAAGATCTTATAAGCAGATGCATTTGAGCAAATATGAGTGGAAAAGTCCAATCTGTATTGTTTCAGCAGTGAGTGGCATCTCCAGCATGTGTTTTTATGCTTTTAGATGTCTACTTTTCGCTGGAGACACAAAATGCTGGCCTGGGTGGTACCAGCTGTAAACTAAATAATGTCTACCTTAAAGACATTTATAGTAACAGCTAAAAGTCGCACTATCCTATTGGGTGCCCGAAAAATTACAATAGATACAAATGGAAGCAATTAGATATTTTCTCTTTCAACGATATAATACCTTTGAATAAAACTGATTTAAAACATATTTGCATGGATGTACATGTTGTCAAAGCTGAGCATGTTCTGTTGGGATCCACCTGAGGATTAAACATGTTGACTCAGGCCTGAAACCTGGCAGAGAACCTAGAACCTTCAAAAGCCAATTGGACCAACCAGAGTCACATTGGGTCTAGATTACTGACAACCAAGTGGACCCTCTAAGACAGTGGTCACCAACCTTTTTATGCCCAAGATCACCGACCTCGGCCTAGGTGAAAGGCGAGATCTACCTATTGCAGAATTGAGTAAAAAAGACGGCCCAGACAATGCTTCCAATTTGAGGCCTTTTATATAGGCTAATTGCATCTGAATTACTGTTACAATGAAGGCTCCATAATCAGCTCACGGCATATAGGCAGGGGTAAAGTGCTATTGGGGGGCGGACCTCACCTCCTCTAGGGGGTCCTCACCTCCGTCGTAGGGGGGTCCGGGGGGATGCTCCCCTGGGAAGATTTTTTTTTTAAATATTGAAGTTCAAAGCATCAATCTGGTGGACTTTGAGAGCAACATGAAGAGATCTATGGATACCTCTCTCAGCACCCATATGAAACAGAACTGTAAACAGATTTTCTTTTTCTTTATGGATATTTTACAAATCACTCCCCTTTTAAACTGTATTCTTGTTTTACTGACATACTGTATAGTAGGCTATTTCATACCTGTTTTTCATTTATTCTCTTATTGTTTGTATAACTATAATGATCATATGAAGGTGTGCCGCGGAAATAATCTTTTGAATAATTTGTGACAAAACCGTTCTAAACACTCAAGAGAGTCCTTTAGCTCACCTGAGCCCCTCAGTTTGACAGGGGAGGAGTCTCCTCCAGCTTGTTGTGGAAACAGCTCCTTATTAGTCCATGGGCCAGACCAGATTTTGGTACCACTCAGAGTGGCAAAGTCTAGTAACATTTTTTGAAAAGGTACATGTCCATAGATGATATTTTGGTATGATAACCCATCCTAAGTGGTAGCTTTTTGACAGTTATCAGCTCATAAAGTTATCAACCCCCTGCAAAAAATAGGCCTCTAAACGCCGGGGGCATATTTTGTTTTGTGCTCATTTTCAGAACTTTACTCATATGTTATGAGGGCATGTTTGGTAGCATTTTAAAGTGTACAATCCTAGCTTTCATTTAGACCTAGTTTTGGGCCTATCTAAAAAATATAAAGGTCACATGGTCAAAGGTCAAACTGTCTCAACAACATTTTTTCCACTATTTTCGCCTAAACTGTAGTATTTTTTATAGCACTGTGAAATGTAGGAACAGCACTGACACAAATAACAAAAACTGAAATACTCACAGGACTGTAACAATTCAGGAAATGTATAATCTTCCCATAATATCCTGCTATGAGGGAGGATATGGGTCTTTAAGTGGAACATGGGCCCAGGCGAGAATTGACAATAACTGCTAATTATTTCCGTTTCTAAGGACCTAGAGCGTCTTACACAGTCACTATCGCGCGAAACGAACTAGTCGCAAGGCTAAGTGAGACACACCTACAGGGGAACGGTGACTTAACAAAAGGTCAGACAGATATAACAGCGCTACGGTTACAACAACTTCGTCCTGGCCCAAACTACAAACACAATACCACAACAAACAGAAATGAAACCGACCGAACAAGACTCTCGTCCCTCCCGGGCACAGATAAAAGAAGATAGGACTCTTATACTATGTTGATACCGGCTCCAGACCAAACGTAGACAATAGTCATAGGTGTACACGGTCATTCTCTAAAACTGTCGTTTCCCGTTATTTTACAGGAAACACGTGCCGAATTTGAAAAACGGCTCCTTGTCTTATTTGTACTTAGAACTGGTTTCCTACGTCACTCGGAAACGTGAGAGAAACGCTCCCAATAAGTGAAGGACACCAAAATGGATCAATCCTCACAGACCTCCTTTGAGAACTGATCTGTGTCTCCTTACGACAAGTAGAAAAAAGGTCTAGACCTGTCGTACACCACCCGGTACGGACTCATTATGGACAAGACGACCTATAGTAAAGACTAAAGTCACGGTGACACTATAGTGTAAGTGACGGTTATAAACCTAAACTTGTTGAAGACAAGGAGAAATTCAAGTCCTTTTGAAATGTCCAAGTAGGTAAAGTTTAACAGCCTGAGTAGGTTTGTCGAAAAGGACACAGTAACCAGCAGCACTATACATTTCTACCTAGGTTTACAGTCGAAGTGAGACGCCTGCGATTTCACAAAAAAAATAATCTCCCATGTGGACACAATGTGGTGTTACGTGTTTTTATGTCTCCCAAACTCTCCACTACTTTCTTCAACAGAATATTGAGACCTGGTTGTCTGCTACTACTCACCTAACTACTACCCTACCTACTACTACTAACTACTATCTACTACTACTACTACTACTAATCCCGTTTCTATATATCTTTCAATTTTTTTTGAGAC